ATCGTGCGGCGCATGGGGTCAATCCCTGCCGGCTCCGTGCGAGGGGCGGCGCTGACGCCCCTGCCGCCCCTTGCAGACTTCTCGYTGTTCTCCTACAACAACGGCGTGGTGGTGACGTCCTGCCGGGAGCTCGAGGGCGGCCGCAGTGCCCTGTCGGCCGCGTCCGCCTTCGCCATCGCCACGGCGGGCGCCAACGAGGGCACCCCGGCCAAGGAGAAGTACCGGCGCATGTCGCTGGCCAGCGCAGGTGGGGCAGCACGTCCCCGCGTCCCCGGGGCTCCCGCTGCCCCCGCGGGGCTCTGGCGCCGCACTGCGACCCGCCTCCCTTGCAGGCTTCCCGAGCGACCAGCGCAACGGGGACAAGGAGTTCGTGATACGCAGGGCGGCCACCAACCGCGTCCTCAACGTGCTGCGCCACTGGGTCTCCAAGCACTCGCAGGTGAGCGCCGGAGCCGCCACGTGCCCGGCTGTGCTCCCGGCAGCTCGGCGGGGCTCCGGCCCCGAGGACAAGCGGAGGGGACGCTGCGTGTGTGCAGCCAGTCAACGAGCAGGCTGGCGCCTTCCCGCAGCCGCGTGCACGGGCACTGGGCGATGCATCGCGTCGGGTTTTAATGCCCGGCAGYGGCAGTGAACCCCATGGGAATTGCYTTGCCCGCCTTGCAGGACTTTGAAAGCAACGAGGAGCTGAAGTTCCGYGTGATCGGCTTCCTGGAGGAGGTCATCCACGACCCCGAGCTGCTCACGCAGGAGCGCAAGGCGGCCGCCAACATCATMAGGTGGAGCTGCTGGTGCCGCGCGCCCGAGCACCACGACAGCCCTCGCGCCGGGTGGGAGCGGGTGCCGACCCTCTCGGAGGGCTTTGGAGCTGCTGGGGTCWGTGGCTCGGGAGCAGGTGCCCACGGTGCCGCGCGTGCCCCTCACCGTGGCGTCGGGGCGGTGCACACCAGGTGTTTTTCTCTCTGCGGTTCGTGGTGCTTCTCCACCCCGGAGCGCCCGGGCAGGGGTGAGCCCGCGGTGGTGGCAGCCCCACAGGCTGCAGCCCCCAGCCAGGGCAGCTCCCTTTTCCTGCCACAGGACCCTGACGCAGGAGGACCCCGGGGACAACCAGATCTCCCTGGAGGAGGTGCTGCACATGGCAAGTGGTGCTTCCTGCTCYGCGGGGCGCGCGGGACGGAGAGGGGCCGGCGCCGCTGGGCGCCCTGGCGCTTCACGGAGGGCTGCTGCTGTTGGGACCCTGGCTTTGCTTTTATTCCTATGACGTGGGAATAAATGAGGAAGCAAAAGCCCTGGCCCTGCTCCTGGCCCCCAACATGCCATGYCCCTCAGGCGGAGGGCATCAGAGCTGAGCCCTTCGAGAACCACTCCGCACTGGAAATCGCTGAGCAGCTCACACTGCTCGACCACCTGGTCTTCAAGAAGATCCCCTACGAGTGAGTCCTGTGATCCCGTGATCCCGCCATCCCGCTGACCCCGGTGGCTGCCGAGCTGCTCCCGGTGCTGTGAAGCCTCTGGGAATGAACACGGCCAAATGCTGTCACTTGCAGGGAGTTCTTTGGGCAAGGCTGGATGAAGCTGGAGAAGAACGAGAGGACCCCATACATCATGAAGAACACCAAGCACTTCAATGACGTAAGGCTCTGGGCTTGGGCAGCGCGTCCTGTGCTCGGTGGCTCCGTGCTTTCGGGAACGTGCTGGGCAGCTGGACGCGCTCTTTCCCAGGCCCTGCAGCATGGGGAATGATCTGTGTTAGGGAATGATCTGTGTTAGGGAAGATCTGTGGGTGGAAGGCGAGAGCTGGGGCAATTCCCGGGGACAGCGGCCGTGCTCTGTCCCCAGGTCAGCAACTTGATAGCGTCGGAGATCCTGCGCAACGAGGAGATCAACGCGCGGGTGAGCGCCATAGAGAAGTGGGTGGCGGTGGCGGACATCTGCCGGTGCCTGCACAACTACAACGCYGTGCTGGAGATCACCTCCTCGCTCAACCGCAGCGCCATCTTCCGCCTCAAGAAGACCTGGCTCAAGGTCTCCAAGCAGGTGGGCGCCGCGGCCGCCCGGCCCGGAGCGGCGCAGGGCTGCGCAGCGCGTTGGGCTGCTCCGCGCCGCGCCGAGGGGCCGCCCGCTCGCCCCGGCAGCGCCGCTCGCCTCTTGCAGACCAAGGCGCTGATCGACAAGCTGCAGAAGCTGGTGTCCTCCGAGGGCCGCTTCAAGAACCTCAGGGAGGCGCTGAAGAAGTACGTGGGGCCGCGGGCAGGGGCTGCGGGGATGGAGTGCGTGGGCAACGCGCCYGGGACCCCGTGCATGGCCCGGGATACCGGCCCTGCGCCGGCCGGTCCCTGCTGCAGACCCATGGGTTCCGAGGCAGTGCCAAGGYGGGAGGCGCTCCTTGGAGTGGGGCYGTGCCCGCTTCCCTCTGGAGCTCCCCAGTTTCGAGGGGAGCTGCGGGGCCGTCTCGGCTGGCTTGGGTGGCCAGCGGGGAGGTGACCTCATGAGYGGCTCTGGGCTGAGCTTCCCCGCCGAGGATCCCGAGCGGATGGCCGGGCTGCAGAGTCGCTCCGCGCCAGGGACTCGGGCTTGCTGAGGCTTCCCGGCCCCATGCCCAAACTGCAGCTCCCGGCCCTGAGCCACCGGCCTCCCCTGCCAGCCCCAGGCCAGCCAGAGCAATAACCCTGCCCTCCATCCCTCCCTCCATCCCTCCCTTCATCCATCCCTCCATCCATCCGTCCACCCGCCGCCCTGCAGCTGCGACCCTCCCTGCGTGCCCTACCTGGGAATGTACCTGACCGACCTGGCCTTCATAGAGGAGGGGACGCCCAACTACACCGAGGACGGGCTGGTGAACTTCTCCAAGATGAGGATGGTGAGCGGGGACGGTGACCCGCGCSCCGGTGTGCGTGGGCAGCGCGGTGGCGGCAGCCGTGCCCTACCGCGTCTCTGCTGTGTCTCCGCGCAGATCTCGCACATCATTAGGGAGATCCGGCAGTTCCAGCAGACCTCCTACAAGATCGAGCACCAGGCTAAGGTAGAGCCCGGGCAGCTGAGGGGATGCGGCTGGCGCCGCTGCCAGGGGACGGGCAGGGGGCTGTGGCCTGCTCCGGGTCCCCGTGCTGGCCAMGTGTCCTGGTGTGCCCGGGGTGCCCCCCTGCACACCCGCGCTCTGGGCCTGCCCGGGAGGGAGRGATGTGCTAGGGATCCCCCCAGGACGCGCTCCCGGTGCGGCAGCTCGGGTCACTCCTGCCCGCGGCCAGGGCCCCGGCTCCGCGTGGCGCTGTGTTGGCGCGAGCGTGCCGCTGACGCCGCGCCGGCCCGCAGGTGACGCAGTACCTGCTGGACCAGTCCTCCGTGATGGACGAGGAGGCGCTGTACGAGGCCTCGCTGCGGATGGAGCCCAAGCTGCCTTCCTGAGCGCGCGGCCGCGCTGCCCGCGCTGCACATCCCGCGTGTCCGCGCCGGCCGCCCCGCGGCGCCTCCACCACCGCTTCTCCGAGACCCCATGTCCCGGCAGCCGCCCCAGACCCAGCGTCCTGGCAGCCGCCCGTGCTGCCTGCGGCCTGGGCTTTGCTGCCCGTGCGGATCCCAGCTCCCGCCAGGACGCTCCGTCTGCCACCCACTGCCCAGGGCCGGCGCTGGGGATGCGTTGGCAGCGCGCGCGTGCCCAGCGCGGAGCATCTTGTCACGCAGCCTGCGGTACCGCCAGTGCGTCCCGTGTCCTCGGCGCCGCTCGCTGTGCTCCGGGCGCAGTATTCCCGCTTGGATGCGGCGCAGGACGGGCCTGCGGGCGCAGCGCCATCGTGATCGCCGCCGCCCCGTGCAGCCGCCGCGTGCTGCCCGCCTCGCCGGAGCTGCCGCGCCGCGCGCAGGGCCACGGAGCCGCCCCGTCCCCTCCTGCTGCATCCCGCTCATGACAAGCTTCTGTTGATATGCTCTGAATCCGTATTCCTTGTGACCACTATTAGTAACATGACGTAGAGGTAGAAAGAAATGACCAAGTGTTTTTATTACATATACTGTAATCCTGTCTAACCACCTTCTAGCAGGAATATAGTAATGTAGTGCTTATTCTGTGAATATTACCATGTATTTTTTACATTGTACAGTATATAAACACAGTTGAACTTTGCAGTGGCAGGCATGCTCCACTCTACCGGACAGAAACCTTTTGCTGTAAGCAATACCTTGTGGTATGAGAATTCTATTTCAAGCCCTAAAATATTTCAACTTACAGCTTGTTTGGAAAAATATTTCCATTTTTGTAAAAATATATGTTTCCTGATTACCTCTTGCTAATAAATCTATTCTATCTCAGGGTGAACAAGGACTCGCAGCATTTTTRTCTGGCGGATCTGTGCAACTGCCAGTGTCAGCTCTGCAGATGCTCTTGCCCGTTGCAGCACCCTTGGGTGCCTGATAAGGCAGCACTGGGGCGCTGCATCTCACTAAGCGGAGGGCAAACACGGAGCCTTTCCCGTGCCCGGTGCAAGCGGGGCACGAAAAAGCGGTGCAAGGGGGGAGGCAGAGGAGGGTGCGCTGCAGCGTGCCCCAAAAAGCTGCTTTCTGGCACATTTCTGCTGCGTGTGCGGCGGCGCGCTACCGCGGCGGCCAGGCCGGGGGCGCGCGCTGCCTTCCTGCGCGCTCCGTGCGCCTTCGCT